TCCCAAGGTTAGTTTCAGTTACTTGTTTCCAAGAAAAGATTCCATCGAAGAAGACCATTCAGTCAGAACCTGGGAAGTAGAATTCTTTCCCCTCTGCGCTGTGCAAGATTGACAGAGGTTTTTTTTTACCACATGGATTTGGTTCAAGAAAGGAGAACATTTTGTCGCTCAAGGTTGAAATGAGAGATCCTTAGTGCTCTCTGAGCTAGCTTGTTTTCTTGCAAACGTTTCACCACCCAAACTAGGTAACATCATCAGTGCTAGTCATCGTCAGTCCCTTGTCTGGGTAATGAAACGTCTGCAAAAAAAAACACAAGCAAGCTCAGGGAGCACCAAGGACCCCCCTGATTTGGCTTGTTTGAAACTTGAAATTAATAAGTTTATTCAAAACTCTGCAATCCAGATGTGCTCTGTCCTTCTTATGAGATGTTATACCACAGGGGTCTTCAAACTTGGCAACTTTAAGACTTGTGGAATTGGCTGGAGAATTCTGAGAGTTGAAGTCCACAAATCTTAAAGTTAACAAGTTTGAAGAACTCTGTTATACAACCTGCTGGGACTTGCACATGGATACTTGGATAGGAGATAGGAGAGGTCCTTGGCGCTTTCTGAGCTTGCTTGTTTTCTTGAAGACATTTCATTAGATAACATCACCAGTGCTAGTCAAATATTATTCTTCATTAATACTTGGGTAGATTTATTTGGTGCTTGATGGGCATTTGAATGCATGAACCAGTTAGATGCAAACCAAGCACCATGTATCTGTAAAATCTTGAAAATTAAATTTTAAAAGTTATACTTTTGTTAGATTTTTCTTCATGGCTTCTCTTGTCCATTATGAATTGTGCCATCCTAGATTCAAATGTACCTTCCCCCCACCTAAATGTAAAGATGTCCACCCTAATCCAGCTATCCCAGTTTGTTATCCTCCAGTTCCCAGAAAACCAATTCTGGTGCCTGGTGTTGTTTTCTCAAAGTATCTGGAGGGTAATAAATTGAGGAAGATTCTCTTTAACTATCCTCGGGAATAAAAGACTTCATGTTCAGGACTGGGGTATAAGAATACTGGGGTGGCTGGAGAATTCTGGGATTAATAGTCCTCTTACCTGAAAGCTGCCAAGGTTGAGAAATTCTGCTCTCCATCCATCCATACAGAATATTTGGGAGTAGTTCAGCCTGAAATTTACTGCATCTGGAAAAAATCAGAGATGGGGAAAGTATGCCTGCTCTATAGTGTTGTTAACTACACCTTTCAGCTTTGTAGCTAAGTCTCACCAAGGGGTGAAAGATGCTGGTAGAGATAATTATACAGTGCAGGTAGTCCTTGACTTACGACCACAATTGAGCCCAAAATTTCTGTTGCTAAGCGAGACAGTTGTTAAGTTACTTTTGCCCCATTTTATGACCTTTCTTGCCACAGTTGTTAAGTGAATCACAGCGGTTGTTAAGTTAGTAAACCCTGTTGTTAAGTGAATCTGGCTTCCCCATTGAGTCTGCTTGTCAGAAGGTTGTAAAAGTGGATCACATGACCCCAGGACACTGTAACCGTCATAACTATAAGTCAAGTTTCCAAACATCCAAATTTGGTCACATGACCATGGGGATGTGGCATAAATGTGAAAAATAGTATGTATAACATTTGAAGGGAGATAAATTCCCTGCTTTTGCTTTAGGGAATATTGGAACTGAATGATGGAGACCAGACAATAGATCTGGTATTCATTTGTAAAAAAAGGGAGAAGAAAAAAAATGGATTGGCTAAGACTTTTTCATCTAGCTTTCCTTGAGGTAACATGGGTCCTTCCAATAGAGAGCTGTGACTCTTTTTTTCTTTTAACTGCTCTTTGGTCCTTTAAAGAACAGCTATTGTTGAAATAAACCAAATTAAACAGTAGAGTTTGTTCCAAAGCAAATGTCTATGGAAATAACATTAGCCGCAGGAAAGATGCATAATCAAATAGTCCATCGCTGTGTTTTTCCTAAATAACTTAGGTCCCAGGCTGATCTAATTTGTTTATTTATTTATGGAATTGATCTGGTAGTTTATAGATTATATTATTAATAGAATTTATTGTAGAAGATGAGCAGGCTGAGCTGGAAGGCAGAGTTAAACATGTCATTAGTTTGGAGTCATCGCACAGCCACAAGAGATCCAAGTCCAGCCCACCATGAATTCTGTAGCTCTTTATCTAGTACCAATTTAACTTAGCTGGCCAGATTCTTGTACATAGCTAACAATAATGAACTCTTCTGTGCTTTGAACTCAACAAATACTCCTGGTTATTTGCACCTGACAATTTATAAGGTCATAAAATCACAAACACAAGACAGTCTCAAGGAAATGTTCTAATGCCTCATTTTTTACATGTATAAAAATAAATGCTTCCAATGTTTTTTGTTTGGCTATAAATACTAAGAAGTTTCATCTTTTTTTTCCCAAGGAGAGTGATGTTGGAGCATTACCAGACACCTTATTCAGGTGAGAGAAAAATCTATCCATTTTACAATCCACCTTGTTTTTCTGCTATTGGATTGTACACTCATCTCTCATTCTTTTCCCAGTGAACTAACTTCATCCAAAGAAACGTTTGTCTCCGCCACAGAGGGCACTAAAGAATCACAAGGTATGTTGAAGGTACAAGTACAGATGAGGTGAAACCTTGCTCCAAACCAATAGATGTGAGAGGGACCTTGGAGTCTTAGTGGACAATCACTTAAACATGAGCCAGTAATGTGCCGCAGCTGCCAAAAAGGCTAATATAGACCTTGGTTGTATAAATAGAAGTATAGAATCAAAATCATGTGAAGTATTAGCGCCGCTTTATAAAAATCTTCGTAAGGTCACAGCTGGAAAACTGTATCCAGTTTTGGTCACCACATTACGGAAAAAAAAACTCTGGAAAAAGTGCAAAAAAGAGCAACTAAGATCATTAAAGGCCTGGAGACAAAACCATATGAAGAACAGTTGCAGGAATTGGGTATGGCTAGTATAGAGAAAAGAAGGACTAGTGGGGGATTATGATAACAGTATCCCAGTATTTGAGGGGCTGCCACAAAGAAGAGGGGGAGTTAACTTATTTTCCAAAGTACCAGAAGGCAGGACAAGAAGCAATGGATGGAAACTAAATGAAGGAGAGAAGCAACCTGGGACTAAGGAGAAATTTCCTAACAACCAGAACAATTAACCAGTGGAACAACTTGCCACCAGAAGTTGTGGGTGCTTCATCACTGGAGGTTTTTAAGAAAAGACTGGACAACCACCTGTCTGAAATGATATAGGATCTCTTGCTTGAGCAGTGGGCTGGACTAGAAGACCTTGAAGGTTCTTTCCAGCTCTATTCTGATTGCCTGATAGAGAGGAGTGGTAAGTAAAGCAAAGAACATTTCCAATTTTTGTGGGTTTTTGCAGCGAACGACAATGACCCCAGAATGATAACTCATGATCAGCGAGCGATATCGTCAGAAAGAAATTGTGATTGTTCAATAAAAAAAAAATCTCTCTGATCTTCCAACAGATCACAGTGTGAATCCAGATCTGGCTTTTCCTGCACCAATAAGGAACTAAATTTTTTTTTTCCTAACTAGCATTTCATTTCCTTCACAACCAAAGAATTTGGGGGGTGAACGGAGAGAGGCTCAGAAATATGGTTGAAAGCCATCAAGTTATGTCTGTTCAACAGAAGGCTGTTTTTTCATCTATTGGAGTGTATTAAAATCTTCAAACACCCGAGGGATCTGAGCATTTTTCCCCCCTTGTCTTCTGCCTTTGTAGATACGGACTCTACACTACTGGAACCAGAGGGGAAAACACATCTCTCTACCTTACCGTTGCAGGAAGCAACTGTTGCTTCAAAAGAGGAAGCTGTAGAAGATGCCTCCAGCAACAAGACTGGTATTATCGTTATTCTTTTTTTCGGACACATGAAACTCTTGGCAAGCAGGAAGCTAGTAAGGCCACAAGTATTCATTGGATTTGGATGAAGCCAAAGTGGGCTGGGTTCACACTTTGCATTAAGCCATGGCTTACAAGTCACAGGGACTGACTTAACAGATCACGCTAAAGGCGACTGGACTTTCTTGGGGTTTTTTTTTCCCTGAAAACATTTCGCTTCTCCTCCAAGAAGCTTCTTCAGTTCTGACTGAATGGAAGGGAATGGACAGATTTATACACTTTGCAGTCATCTGGTTGTTAGCACTCTCTCTGAGAATTGGTCATTAGTTCTGTTTGAGAGCCATTAAGGCCACTTGGGGTTTTGTCTGTATCTTCAGTGTCACCTGAAAATCAGAGTGCAAATGGGTGTGTCAAACTTTCAGGGACTGTCAAAAGGATTGGATGACCACAAAGTATATAAATCCTTCCATTCCCCACCATTCATGCAGAACTGAAGAAGCTTCTTGAATGAGAAGCGAAATGTTTTCAAGGAAAAAAGCAAGAAAGTCCAGTTGCCTTTTGGGAAAAGCACCTTTGGGATAACCATAACCTGATTGATTGAGAACCTCCATAAATAGATCTGTTAAGAGTTTGCAGCAAAATTCAAATCCAGAAAACACACAGACGACTGACTCAGCAGGATTCATTAAACTTCCTTTTATATAAAATAAGTAAATGTACAATACCAGTAATTTCTTCCAACGTGGAAAGGTTACAAGCAAACACAAACAGAAGCAGACACCTTACAGCTCCAATTCAGAGCAGAACTCTAGTTTATCAGCAAGCAAGCAAGTTAGTTTCTCTTTCACTTCTCAGCAAAGCACACTGGAGCCAAGCCACACCCAGGCTGTCAGCTCCCATTGGCTGGTCTGTTGCCATGCTTACTTTGTTAACCATGTCTCTGCCAGTTAATGAATATACTCTGACAAGATCACATTAAACAAACATCTCAAGAAGGTTTCATACAGCATGTAAAACCAGCCTTGTCTTTAACTTGGACAGGATAATCACTGTATGACTGAATCTCTATTTTTTTTCTAACTCTAACCTACACTGAACAAGGGATTCTATCTTACGGCCTAAACTGTCCCTTCAATTCTTTGATCTTCAGTTATTAGTTATTTTATTTTTGACATTGCCATCCTCTTAAGTACATATGGAAATTCTCAATCATCCAGGTTAAAGGTGCTTTTTTCCAAAAGGCAACTGACTTCCTTGGTTGTTTTTTTTCTTTAAAAATGTTGAGAAGCGAAACATTTTCAAAGAAAAACACTCAGAAAGTCCAGTTGCCTTTTGGAAAAAGCACCTTTGGGACATCCTCTTAAATAATCCCTCTCCCCCTCCAAAAAAGTGGTAGTCTTTGAAGGCCCCAAAGGAGTTCTGTAATGAGACAAACAAAACAGTCTGGTCTGGTTGAATGGGTCTGATCTGAGCTTTCTGGGAGGTTTTTTTTTTTTGTTTTTTTTTGAAGTTTTCCACTCATGCAAGTGAGCCCTAGGAGAGCATCCTCAGAAGACAACCTGACCAATACCTGTGACTCCTCTTCTTTGGCAGGTGATTCATCTTCATGCCAGGATCTGTCAAGCAGCCTCATGTGCCAAAAGAACCAGAATAAGTAAGTATCTGGTTTCAGAAATACACTCGGGTTATGGGGAAAAAGTCAAGATGGCGACTTACAACAATGTGCCCAATTTTTAGCCTGTTTTTTTTTCTGGAGTATTGTTCTAGATGCCACCTTGATATGTCCTACGCATGCCCCTGTTCAGTTTCAATGAATGCAGAGAACATCAAGCTCGCCCCAACTTCTTGCCCCTCTGGTAGAGCAAGCCTCTCTTTTGTCTGGAATATTTGTGGGAAATATAGATAGTCCTAGACTTACGACCCCAATTGAGCCCAACGTCTATGTTGCTAAGCGAGTTAACTGTGTTTGCCCCATTTTATGACCTTTCTTGCCATAATTGTTAAGCAAACCACTTAAGTTAAGTTAGTGTAACCATCAGGTGCTGCGGAAACCAGGAGATTCAGGCAGTTCAAATGAGTATAAAGATTTATTGGAAGTTTAAGCTGTCTACAAGAATCTGAGCTACTAACGGTCAAGGGGAAATCGTGGGAGTTAAGGTGGATTAGATTTAGATCTCTTGTGGGCACTCAAGGACTCGTGACTGAGGGTTTGAGACTTGAGTGCCATGTGATGGGTGAGTTCCCGTTCTCACCCCAGCTCCTGTCAACCTAGCAGTTTGAAAGCATGCAAATGCGAGTAGATAAATAGATACCACTACAGGGGGAAGGTCACAGTGCTCCATGATGTCAGGCTGGCTACATGACCGTGGAAATGTCTTTGGATGCACTGGCTCAATGGTCTTGAAATGGAGATGAGCACCGCCCCCTAGAGTCAGCAATTAAGGGAATAAAATCCACAAGGACTCCTTTTTTTTAATATTACTCTAAAACTCCATATTCTGTGCTTTGGTTGATGTGCCATTCTGGGTCAGTTCAACTAAAACTTCAGCAGTTTGTCCTCTGCCTGATGGCATAAGGATTGGTCTGCAGATGTTCCCTTAGAGTAGACCTTGTTCCATCTTGTGAGGTCCCCAACCCACTTGAGATGTGTTGGTGCTGGGACTCCACACCTTTTGGCCAGGATGGTTCTTAAATTAGGAACTTGAAGTTTATCTGTGAAGGCCTTAGAAAATGATATTTCAGTTCTGTGTCTCTAGTAATATAATTTCTTTTGTTCTTCTCATTTCAGTGGCTCTCCCAATGAGAAAGAAGTGGAGGTAAGCATAGGAGTATTTGTTGCTTTTTCTATCTCCTCTTGGTATGTCTTCCTACTTTTTAGCTGTGTTTCCAGGAGAGGGGCAGGAGAAGCAGGATTTTGGGTGTGAAGAGTCCATGCTTTTAGTCTGAGCATCTGCCAGTATTTCCTAAGAACAAGGTGGCAGGTTAGGACCTGGTTAACTGGAGACAGGATGTTAATTTGAGCTTCTTAGCTCCATCTACCTAAATCCTATGCCAGTATGATACTTTCTCAATTTGAGGTAGGTTTGGACCATTGGAATTCATGATTTAACAAACAGAAAATAAGTTAAGGAAACCCTCAGTGTTGAATTAACTGGGAGGATTAGTGTTTAACTGAACGTAAATAAGTGAAACAAATAGTTACTTTGGGCACTAGTGCCATCTGTTGCTTATTAAATTAACCATGTGCAAAATGATTTGGAGCACAAAACTACTTTTCGGAGTGCAACCCAGCCACTGTAAGTGTGAAAAGAGCCTCCCCAGTTGTTGAATATGTGTTGTATCCCAAATGCCTCTGTTTCAAGAGCAGAACAGCACTCAAAAGTCAAAAAGTTTGGAGTGTGCTTGAAACAGCTGGTTTCACACTCCAAACGATGGTTTTACATTATATGTGGGTTATTTCAGTATCAAAGTGGTTTGAACTGAAACATTTGGCATGTCCTGCATTGCCACCCAGATGTAGAATAACAGAGTTGGAAGGGATCTTATAGGTCATCTAATCCAACCCCTTGCTCAAGCAGGAGGCCCTATACCATGTCAGACAAGTGATGGTCCAGTCTTTTCTTAAAAACCTCCAGTGATGGAGCACCCACCACTTCTGAAGGTTGGTTGATTGTTCTCACTGTCAGAAAGTTTCTCCTTTTTTCTAGGCCCAAGATCATCCAGAGTTCAACTTAATATTTCTTCCTGCTGGAAGCAATAACATATTTTATTTTATTTTTATTTTTTTTCCCAGAGAGAGATTAACCAGCTGGTAATCTGCCTAGTAAGGATGTTTGCTCCTCTTCTGTTTTCCAGGCAGAATTTCTACGGCTGTCTCTTGGATTCAAGTGTGACCTCTTTACTTTGGAGAAGAGAGTCAGGCTTGAAGAACGATCTCGGGATCTCGCGGAAGGGAGCCTGAGGAAAGAAATTACCGGCGCCTTGAAACTACTTGATGTAAGAAGGAGGGAGATGGGTTCTGTTATATACATCTATTGCTTCAGAGGGTGAAGTCAGGCCTAACTTCTAGATCAGTCTTTCTCAGCTCTGTCCATTCTTAAATTGGGAGAGTAACGGAGAGCAGCAAATGTCCTGTATCTACTGTATTTGCCTGAAAATAAGACCTACTCAGAAAATAAGCCCTTGCATGATTTTTAGAATGCTCGTAATATAAGCCCTATCCCCAAAATAAGGCCCAGTTAAGATTGTCGGCCAGATGGATGCATTTAATACTGTATTTCCCTGAAAATAAAACCTAACTGGAAAATTAGCCTTAATGCGTCTTTTGGAGCAAAAATTAATATAAGATCTGGTCTTATTTTCGGGGAAACACAGTAAGTCTGAAGCAAAAGGACCCACAAGGAAGCTGATTCTCCCAAGGAGACCAGGATAGTATGAGCAAGTGGGGGACAATGGTGAAGGCTTTGGACTAAGAGAAGGAAAACTCAGTCTCTAGTATCTAGAAGCTCCCTAGAGACATTGGGCTTGTCTCTCAGTCCAAGAACCACTGTGGTGGTAATTGTGAAGGTGCTGGACTAGCACTAAGGAGATCCAAGTACTAGACCATCTTCAGCCCCATAAACTGTGAGTCAGCCTGTTCTCTCAGCCCAACCTGGCTTACAGAATTGTGACAAAATGAAAAGAGGTCCCACCCTTGAGTTCCCGAGAAGAGGTAGAATAGACATTCATTAAACAATAGCAATTTAGATTGCTTTGGAGACACGGTTATGCAAATCTCACAGACAAAGATATTTCTCTGTACTGTATGTGGGTTGGCTTATCGATACACATGGCAGTTTCACTCCTGTTGAAAATAAAGGGTTCACAAAATCATTTTTGGAGTTAAATGTTTGGCAGAAGATTTGTCCCATTCGTTGTTTCTTCATTTGTGTAGAGCACAACGCTTGTCTTCATGCACATCCTGGATGTTCTTTGTTCAGTCTTTAGCCTCTCTAAGCGAAGATAACCAGGTGCAGGAGATAGTTAAGAAGCTGCAGAAGAGCCTGGACCTGCTGGATCAGCATGCCACCAGAATCGCCAGCAAAGCAGAAATGCTGGGAGCTGTTCATCAGGTAGGTTGCCTGATCCAAAATTGTAAAGAATCAAAAGGTCTTCTTCAAGCTGAGTTTGATTCCTGGTGACTTCATGGATCCACCCGCTGTCTTTTTCCAATACCCACATGTGAGGAAGGCAGGGGTTAACACCCAAAACCAATCTACATTTCTGGGATTTCCTTGTCTCCTTCACAATGATAAATCAGGCCTCACGTAGCTAGTCAACATCTGGCAGACTTGGTTAGATTTTATTTATTTACTTTATTTATTTGTTTGTTTGTTTGTTTGTTTGTTTATTTATTTTGTCAAGCAAGTATTAGATAACAGGTATAAGTATAAACATGATTATGAATACATGGAAGATTGTGCCACCTGGCTGGGTTTTATAGGTGTGGTGTTCTTTCAAATAACCATGCAGAAAAATATATATGCAGAATTGGGAATTCCTTACCCTTGGTTGAGTTGACAGGAGGTTGGAAGTCTAGACTGCTAGGATCAAATGAAAAGTTCTTTGAAAATAGATTCTAGAATAGTGTTTTCCAAGCTTGGCAATTTTAAGATGAGTGGACTTCAGCTGCCAGAATTCCCCAGTCAGCATGGATGACTGGAATTCTTGGAGTTGAAGTCCACCCATTTTAAAGTTGCCAGACTTGAAGAAACACTGTTCGGGAAAAATCCTTTCTTAGCAAATTCTGTTTGTAAATGATGGTGGAATTTTGAAAGCTTGTGAAGCAAGGCAGCAGAGAAGTTAGTCAGAAAGAAATATGAACCAACAAGATAAGGAAAAGAAAAAACAACTTAAGGATTTAATATTCTTGAGGTGAAAAAAAAAAAAGTTCAATCCTCACTGATTCAAAAGAGCAAGTTGAATCTCTACAAGTTTGAATAAATCTGCAAAGGCATTTGTGATGCAACCTTTGTGGCTGGTGTTACATCACACAATCCGTAAAGGCATTTATTGCCTTTATTGTTCTCTGTATTGTGTTGATGATAGTTTTAATCCTGATTTACTAGGGCAATCCAAGCATTGTTGTTAGATATTACAGAAGTATAGTAGAGCTATTTTTAAAGAATTTTAGATACTAGACTTAGTCTAATGTGATTGGGAAGTTCTGGAGATGAATCATGCACGGGTCTTAACAATGTTTTAGTTGATGTTTTAAGTTGTGAAGAAGCTTTTTATCTTACCCAAACGCTCTTCAACCTAAATGTTCTAGGTAACATTGTGCCTGAAGAATCATTCTGGCCTCTCAAAATCTTATTTTTTCTGAAGTTTGAAAGGATGAGCTGCTTATTTGTAATATCTATTTCTCCAAGGCAATATTCAAGACAATGTGTCTCAAGTAGAGGTGCTCCTTTAGCATTGGTGCAGCCTTCA